AGATTTTAGAACTCCCACACTGACACAGTCACCCCACCTGTGGCCACGGAGGGGGTGGGGAGACATTGGCATTGGAAGTATTGGAGCATTTCCTTGTTACTAACACTGAGACCCTAAGAGCATCCCTGGTCCTCTTGGCCTCCTGCCCTCCGAGGTCCCTCCTAGCTCTGGCTGCAGCAAGGGGATCTGGGCAACCAGTGATGAGGGGAGTGAGCCCTCTGGTGGCACAAAGGGACATTGGTGCCTTAACTGGGCAAGAGGGATTGGGGCGAGAGGGGCAAGGCCCAGCCCTGGGTGGGAGGATCTGGAAACAGGCCGTCTGGAAGGCCTCGAAGGGGTCCCTCTTGGGGACAGAGTTTGGAGGAGCCCCCTCCCCGGGCACGCCACACCCTCCCCCAGCCCGACAGGCTTAGCTGCCCCTGCCATCAGACCCAGTGCATCGCAGCTGGGAGTCAGTCTGGGCCAAAGTCACGGAACTCCCTCAGTCTCTCCTGTGAAACCAGAGAGCTGAATCGGAGAAGCCAATGCGAGATGAGGGGGAGAGTCAGCTAGAAACACAGACAGCAAAGCGCCCCTGCGATTCCCTGGGGCAATCTGGGAAGGCTTCTCTGAGAAGGTGGCTCCCTAAGCCAGCCTGGCTCACAGAAGTCCAGGGCTCCCACTGTGGATTCCAGGCCCTTCTCTGGAGACAGTCTCACCTGTGCTCAGAACTAAAAACAGTCCTCAATCCCACCCTGGGGAATCTGACCAGAGCAGAGGCTCTTGGCACTCTCTCCTCCCTAGTCCTGGACTCTGTGCCCTACCCTCTTAATGCAATCCAAGACAGCACCAACCTTCCTGGCTTCCCTATCATGCTGTTGACTCCCATCGAGCTTGAGATCCACTCACACCCCCAGCTCCTTTTTGGATAAGCTGCTGCCTAGCCATCTCCCCTGAGGTGTGCCAGTGACACTGATGTTGGAGCCCAAGGGCAGGACTTTACCTTTCTCCCTGTTACTTTTCTCCTCTTAGATTTGGTCACATGTTCTAGCATGTTCTCAACGGGAGGAGAGCCCTGGCCAGGGGAGAGCTCATCACGGAGAATGCCGAGGCCCATGGAAGGCTGTAAGAATGAGCTAAAAATGGGGGCGCAGGTGGGAGGCCCCGTGTGAAGGACCATGGGTGGCCAGCTCTGGCCTGAATCTGCATTTGAAGATTCAGGGACCTCAAAGGCCACCTCGTCCAACCCCTCGTTTGACCCAGAAGGTCCTTGGTTCCGAGAGGCTAATAACTTGTCCAAGGTCACAGATACCGTTGGCAGAGCCTGACCTCCTCCCAGGAGGACCTCCCACAGCATTTCTCACTGTGCCTGCCTGAGGGTTGGAGTGAGGGAAGCTTCTTGGTCGCATGAAGGTCGGGCAGGATGAAGGCCCTCCGGCCGCAGAATTCTTGGATTCTGGGAAGAATCAGTGGTGATTCCTGGACTGAGAAGCCCTGAGGGGCCCGGCAGAGATGGGGAAGTAGAGAGAGGAAGGGGCCTCTTTGCACAGATTGACGTATTCTCAGATCCTCCCCAGCTCAGACATTTTCTGTCTCAGCCCTGCTCTGGTGAGCCTGGGAGTGCAGGACATGGGGAGGCAGGGGCTGCTGATGGAGGCCCTGGTTAAGACAGTCTCACTCACTAGGGGGAATTTTCCACTCACTTCAACCTGACAGAGGCTTTGAAAAACCCCATTTCTCTAGGTTAGTGTCTGGATCTTGGTTTCATTGTGAAAGCCTGCCATGTCTCAGTTCTGCATCGTGGAGGGCGGTGGGGAAAGGGTGGGTGACATCAGCGCCCGGGGCTGGGGGTGTCCAGGCTGGTCTCAGTTCTTACCCCCAGGAGTCTCTGTCCCTCTCCCCGTCCCTCCCCTCTCTCTCTTGCTTTTTCTCTCCCCTTTGAGGTTCTGGGAGAAATCTCCCCAAATATCTGGTCTGTACACACCCTAGCTAGATAGAAATGATTCCAGCAAGATGCCCCTGCAAGGCCTGCCTGGGCCCCATCTTCTAGATGGAAGGAGCACAGGTGCACTCAGTGACATTCCTCCTCCAGCTCTCCCCCCTCGGCCTCCTGGAGTCGGCTTCCAAAGAAGCCTGGAGACGCTGCAGAGGGATTAGTGTCTCAGCACCTTCTTCTTCCCCTGGCTCCACGTCCCCTTAGCAACAGGCCCACTTTGGGTAGGAGCTGCTGGCTCACCCAGGGATCTGGGGAATTCACAACAGCTGAAAGGCGGGGGGGTGGGGGGTGAAGAAGGAGGCCGAGGAGGAAGGGCTGGGGGAAGGCTGTGCCCCCGGCCTGGGCTCATGTCCATTCATGGGCAATATGTGGGCCTGAGAAGGACGAGGCGGCCGGCACGGAACGCCCGCTCGGGTGACGTTAGGCTCCATCTTGGGGAGGGCGGAGGGCTGGCTAGGGCCTGGGCAGCTGTCCCGAGAGCTCAGGCAGAGCAGGTGTTACCAGCTCAGGGCACCCTACGTGCCGGCCCTGAGCCCCTCGGATGATTTCTGGGCATTTCAGAACTTCTCGAGTTCCTGCCTCTGCACGGCCCTGTGAGGGTTCTGTGCAGACCAGAAGCCTGAGGCTCTGAGCAAAACCAGCTCAATTCCCTGAGCACTGACAGGGCAGCCCGGGCCCACCCCCTGCTAGGCACTGTGGGGCATCGAGGTGATTACCTTCTGCTCAGTCACACCCTGGCCCCAAGTCAAGAAAGGCGGGTCCGTGGCAGGGCTGGGGGATGGGCCCCTGGGGGGCCAAGGCTTCAGCTCACCCACTTCACCTCTGGGAGCTGGGAGCCCCCCCTGCGTCACGGGTCAATAGGGCTGCTAACATCCAGGGTCTGGGGCAGAACCTCACTACTTCCTTCCTTCCCTGGTCTGGAGTTCCTGGCCTGGGCCAGAGGGCCTGCCACACGGCCACAGCGGAGCCTCTTCCCAAACCCCGGGCAAGATCCAGCTGCACTTCCAGCAACATTCAGACCAGCAAGGAGGTCAAAGCCTAAAGGTCTCAAGGCCTCAGCCTGGATTCAAGGCCTTCCATAGTCAGCCCAGCCCCTCTAGCCTTTCTCTTTCTGCTCTCCCACCACCACCTGCTGTGGCCACTTCACCCCCAACCCTCCAGCCAGGCTCATTCTTGGTGCCAGTCCCCCCCTCCCCCCACCTTATGCTTTTCCCTGGTTTCCCTTCCCAAGATCCCCCTAAGCTCTACCTAGAACCTGTACCACCCCAACCCACACCAGCCTCTTGCACGCTGATCATTCCCTTCCCCAAGCGTCCATCTCCAGCAACGACACAGTTTATCCCTGAAATACATTCAGCTGCCCTAGGCCGTTGGCCCATGTTTCACAGGGTTAATCGGCCTCTGTCACCCCCACCCCTATTCGGCTCCCTGGAGCAGCAGCAGGGTGGGGTTTGGGACCTTTGGGACCTAGGTTGCCTCAGTCTCCACCTCCGTAACCCGAGGGATGGGTTAGTTCAGGCTCCCGGGATGCTAGGGCTGGCCATGTGGGATACAAATAATCAATCCATGTTTGTGCTGCCTGGGAGGTAAAAGGGATCAGTCCTGGCCTCCAGCCACCCAGGAGGGGCTGGGCCTTGGCCTGGTCTGACTCCTGGCATTAGGAGAATAGAGGACAGGAGAAGCGGGGGCCCAGATGCCCACAGAGGGCTGTGGGAGAGATCTGCGCCCTGCCCCAGCCTGGGGTTGGGGTGGGGAGGAAATAGTAAGAGGAACTACCTCCCCTCCCCCAGCAGCCAGCACTTCCTCCAGCCATCCCCAGGCTCGAGCCTGACCCTCTCCTCAGGGAAACCCTCCAGAGCCCGGGGGAGATCCTCTGCCAGGCACTTCCTAGGCCTCTGGGGGAGCGTCTGGGGGGCCCTCTGGTTCTCCCTCAGGCCGTGTTGTTCCTGTTACCAGCTCCCAGGTTTGATGGGGCCCAACCGTGAGGCATCATTCTTTCCTAGCCAAGGCCCCAGACACCAGAGCTGGCCAGGCCTGTCCCCCCGGAGGCCAGAGGCTGGGATGTGGGCGTCATGTTCTGAGGCTTTCCTCCCCTCCCCACCCCATCCTGGGAGTGTGCACCACTGGCTGCTGCTACAGTGGATAGAGCTCTGGTCTAGGGTCAGGAAGCCCTGAGGACAAATCTGGCCTCAGATACTAACTAGTTATATGACCCTGGCCAAGTCATTTAACCGCTGTTTGCCTCGGGCTCCTCAAGTATAAAATAAGAAAAAGTGCTTGGCACAATGCTGGCACCTGGTGGATACTGCAGAAATGCTTATGTCCTTCTCTGACCCGGCAGGCCCAGAAGAAGGTCCCAGCATTGGAGGAGCCCCTGAACCTCTCCCCAACCCCCAGCCAATCACTGCCCCCAAGATTTGCCATGATAACACCCCAATCACCTAAGGTCAGAGTGGGAGGAGGCCCCAGGGGCCAGTGGGTCCAGGCCATTCCCTCCACACATGCCCAAGCATGCCCTTCAGGGTCTGCTGGGGAGGGAGCCTGCTCCCTCCTATGGCAACCTCCTCTACGCTGGGATGATCCAACAATAATTCCTCTTTGGCTTCCAACTGCTGCTGGTTGGAACCAAGAAGCACGAATCTGCCCTCTCCTCCAAACCGGAGCCTCATGGACGCCGGAAGACACTTCTGTTCCACCTCCCCACCCTCCTGCAGTCTTCTCCTTTCCAGGTCAGCCAGGCCTGGCCCTTCTTTGACCAGAGAAGCCTCCCTTCCTCGGGTCGTGGGCCAGAGATTTAGACCTGGCACGAGCCGGAGGCCCCCTAGGCCAACCGCCTCGTTTTACAGAAGAGGAAACGCTCTCAGAGGCACCAGGGCAGGCACCCAGGGTCACCTACACCCCAAGTGGCAGGGCTAGAAGTGGGCCGCAAGCTCAGCAGCGCATCTCAGGAGGCGGGCTAGGAGCACCCCAGCCTTCCAGCTTGAGGGGCTCCTGGGGCTCCCAGCGCCGCCTAGGCCTTCCTTACCCGGTGGTCTCCTCCAGCAAGTGCTGCTCCTCCTCAGGGCCCCCCTCCGATGGGTCCCGGTCCATCTCTGCCTCCGCCATTGGCGCTGGCCTGTCTGCGTGGGCCTGTCCGGTGGTGGTGATGGTGGGGCGTGTGCGTGTGTGTGTGTGTGTGTGTGTGTGCGCGCGTGTGCTCGTGCAGGTGTGTGTGGGCCTCTGAGCTCCTACTCAGGGGGCGGGTATGACTCCTCAGGACAGTACTACTTCCTCCTTCCGCTGGTACAGGCTGAGGTTTGGTGGGGGGGGGAGGGTTGTTTTGTTCTTTCTAAAAATTGACTGAAAAAAAGAGAGAGAGAGTAATTTTATGAGGAAAAACCTCACGCCCTCCAGGAAGTGTTGAGCAAGCTTCTGGAGGTGGTCATGTCCTGCCTGGCTGGAGGAGGGCCAAGGGATGCCAAGGTTCTGCTGGACGGGGAGGCCCCGTGGCCCCTCCCTTGGTGCAGTGGAGCTGTGAGTCTGGAAGGTTCCGAGCTTGGGGGCTCCCCCTGGAAGCAGAGCTGGAATGGAGAAGTAGGGACTGGGGGGGCTGGAGGGGCCACAGCCCCCAATACCACTTGGGGCTGAGAAGAGCCTGGGGGAAACTTTCTGAAGCTCCCTCGTGCCCCCTTCCTCCTTTCAGAGTGTTCGTTCTGTCTTTCTTTGTCTTGAGTCCATGACATCCAAAAGGCAGGGGAAGATGAGGTATGGACTCTGGAGAGGAGACGATTGAGGGGGGTGCTGTTGGCTGTGTTTCAGCTTGTAAAGGGGGGCCCTCTTTGTTCCCTTTGGCCCCAGAAGGCAAAACCAGGTCCCAAGGGGGGAAGGTGCAGAGGCAGGTTTAGGCGCTTGTCAGGAGAGAAGCTTCCCAGGCAGCGATCGGCTGTCTCGGGGTTCCTGGAGATCTCCAGAACCGAGCTGCAGGGGGGATCTAGTCAAGGATATAGTTCAGACTGGGCCCACTGGGGGCCTCATTCTGTGATCTCCCTACCTCCCTTCTGCCTTCGCTGCCCCAACCCCATCACACTCCCAGCCTCCACTGGAGGAAAGAGACAGAGAACACTTTGGAATTTTTATTATTCCAACTGCACCCAAAAAAAAAAAATCCAACTTGAAATCCAGGCTCCTCCCGCAGAGCTCTGTCCCCGGAACCAAGACCTATGTGTGTGTGACACAGCAGACCCACAGGAGGCCCCATGCTTTGGCCCCCGTGGCCAGGACCAAGGTCAGTGATCTTCACAACCCAAAGAGATGCTGAAGGCCAGACGAGATGGTCCCGTCCTGGGTCACACAGCTAATGAGTGTCAGAGGCAGGCTTTGAATGCAGGTCTTCTTGACCACCTGACCACCTAGCTGGACAGTGTTTCAAGAGTCCTGGACACCATGCCTTAAAGTAGCCTCCACCTCGGGGTGTCCTCCCCATGAGCCGGTGGTCCACTAGGCCCACCCGGTCTGTCTCACAGGACCTGCTGCTGGCCAGCAGCCCCATCTCTAGCCTGCACTTAAGCCTTGGGCTGTAGATGAGTCAGGAAGCTTAGGGGCCCTCCATCCTCCATTTGAGTGGCATGGCCCTAGGGTGTCATGGCCAAAGTCACACATTCTGGCCCCTTGTAGATGGACCCTAGCAAAGGCATCCATCCCCATGGTGGGGAGCGTAAGTGTGATGGCAGGGAACAGAGAGGGAGAAGGGGCCCAGCCCCCATCCAGGACCCAGGAGGTGGTGGCGGCGTCAGCGGCAGCAGAACAACCCTGAGGACCAGGAGATTCAGGAGTGAGGGAGGGCAGATTTGGAGGCTCAGTGCTTCTAGCTTAGACTAAAGTTAGGGAAATGTAGATGAGGCTAAGAAGGAGGGAAAGGGTAGGCTGAGGGCCCACAGTCCTCTGACACATGTACCCAAAGGAGGGCCGAGGTCCTCAGGGGGCCCATGGGGTGGGCAATGAACATTTAATAAGCACCTACTACTTGTAATTTATTAAGCATCTACTGTGTGCCAAGCACTGTGCTAAGTGTAGGGGATACAAAGAAAGGCAAAAGCCAGTCCCTGCTCTCAGGGAGCTCCCAGTCTAACGGGGAAGATTGTATGCAAACCACTCTAGACAAACACGCTCTGGAAAGGGGAGATGGGGGTAAATCGGCAAAGGGATGTGCTGGCATGAAGGGGGCTCAGGAAAGGCTTCCTGGAGGGGCCTGAAGGAGCCAGGGAAGCCAGGAGGCCAAGAAGAGAAGGGAGGGAGAGCGTGCCAGGCCTCGGGACGGGACAGAGAAGGTGCCTAGAGCTGAGAAATGGAGGGTCTTGTTTGTGAACCCTCCAGGAGGCCGGAGGCACCGTACCAAGGAGTGAGGTGTCAGAGGACTGGAAGGGAGGAGGGGGCAGGCTATGAGGAGCCCTGAGATCCGAGCAGAGCATTTTGGGTTTGCTCCTGGGGGTGATAGGGAGCCATGGGGCTTAGGGAGTGGCGCCAGGGGGCAGTGATGTGAGCTTTAGGGAAATCACTTTGGAAGCTAACTGGAGGATAGCCTGTAGGGAAGAGACTGAGGCAGGCAGACCCGGGTATGAGAGCCTGCACCAGGGGAGAGAAGGGAGCCTTTGCAAGACCTCTGGAGGGTAGAGCCCACCGATTTAATAACAGAGAAGATAGTGGGGGGGGGAGGGATGGCAGTGAAGGAGTCAGTGAACTGAGAAAGTGGTCCTCCCAGGGGCTTCACAGATCACCACCAACATCCTCAGACTGACCGATCTCCTCCCCTGCCCAGTGGGGCTATATGGGCTTGACCCAGGGTGTCAACACCCAAGTAGTGGGTTTGCCTGCTCGGCAGGAAAGACGTGGTAGGGGGCAAGGGTGGTGGTGAGGTCGCGCCTCTCCCGTGAGACAACTACCCTAGATGATGCCCCTTTTTGTCTGGGCCCGGGCCAGCCATGTCCCCATGACAGGGGTGTCATCCCCATCCCACTGTCCTGCTGGATCCCAGCTTCCCCTGCCACCCAAGGCGGCACAGCTGTGCCCAAGCAGGGCGGACTGCCTAGGGTCAGTGGGGATGAAGAAGGGAACAGGCTGGTCTCCGATTTTTGTCTGCGGTAAACGTTCTCCAAGACTAGAAGGCCCAGCTTTGCCATCCTCATCCTGGCTTTATCGTGGGCAGCCCAGGGGAAGGAGAGATTCTGGCCACCAGCCAGAGTGGGCACAAGGGCCCGAGGGGCTTTTTCTTGCCTTTGGCCCCACCCAGGGCAACCAATAGTATTTGAATCTGAAAAGATTTGGCCACTCAGAAAGGGGGAGGGGCTGGCACCCCAGTTCCACCAGCCAATCAGCAACCTTCAAGGCCCCCTCATTGGTTGCACCTGCCAACCAATCAGCAACTGGAGACCTAGGATTTAAAAGCATGATTGGAGCTGGCCTTGGCCATCAGGCGAGGGAGAAGGGCATAGCGGGCAGTGGAGGCAGCCTGGGTCTGAGGCTCAGTAAGTCTGAGTCATTAACTTAGGAGGGGACTGTGGGGAAGGCCCTCCCCTTCCGCGCCTCAGTTTCACCTATGTAGAGTGCTTCTGTGTGACTGTTGATTGCCCCAGGGAGCTTCATGGTGGCCCCAAGGCCCAGGAGAGGGAAGGGACAGACATACGGCTGGACTTCGAAAGCTTTATTTACATGGCTCAAGTTTCTGGAGAGGGTGGGGCCCCACCCTACTGCACACCTGGGGGGCGGGGCTGACTTCTGCTTCACTCTCCATCTGCTCTCACTCTCTTGGGCCCTTTGGAAAAGTGCAGCCGAGCAGAGCTGAGCCTGTGCAGGGGTCCTTGGGGCCACAGGGCAGGGCAAGGAGCCGGGTTCTGAGGGGCTGGCCTTGGCACAGGAGCAGGAGAAATGGGCCTGGAATACATAGGGCTGGGATGGGAATGGGAGGCCCAGGAGGTGGGAGGGTGGGCAAGTGGGCAGGCTGGTGGGCAGGTGGGTAGACAAGTAGGCGGGAAGGCAGCTGCAGGAGGGCGGGCGAGCAGGCCTAGGACTCAGTCTCAAACATCTTCTTTCTGCCCTCCATTCCAGACTTTTCTTCAATATTCTTCCTCCAGTCACCCACATCACGAAGGTCCCTTTCCTGTGGATGACAACAGATATAGGTCAGTTGTACCCTTCCTCCTGTCCCTAGCCCAGCCCACCTACAGCAGGGGCCTTTGACCTTAATGATGTCCTTTGGGGCAGGAGGCACCCTGAGAATCACGGGAAAGCAGGTCTGTCCTGGAGGGATAGCAGTCAGCTAGACCTGTCTCCAGTAGTGCCTAGGGTCTCCCTGGGCCTCAGTTTCCCCCGCTTGGAAGGGAGGGGAGAATCGCTACCTTCTCCCCACCTCCTCAGAACCCTTTACAAAGTTTGAGGGGTGGGGGATGGAAGAGGTCAACCTTGCAGGGAGTGAGACATCGACCTAGCATTCAGGGCCTAAAAGTAAAAGATTCCAAAGGGATCATCTGCAAGATGGGGGGAGGCTGCTGCATCATCTACATCTTCACCTTTCTCTAGCCAGGGTGGGGAGCTTCTGGAAGCTGGGGGTGTCAGGCACTGCTGGTGCCCAGAGCTGGGATGAGCTGGAGGCTGAATATCTTTCTCAGAGTCCTGAATGTTTATTCCTGGACAGCGAAGCCGTCTGGGCCACAGAACACCCAGCACCCACGTGGCTCGTGGCTCCAAGTCCCAGATCCACCACTTATGATGTTGGGTGGCTGTGGACAACTCCCTCACCTCCTCTGCCCCCATTTCCTTGGATGTGAAACAAGCCTAATTCCACCTGTGTCTAGCCTGACACCAGAGCCATAGAGGGGGGTGTGAGCAGCTCAAGGGAAGGATGAGTGTGCAGTGAGCCATGAGGGCGGGGGAGGAGGGAGGAGGAGAGAGGATGGTGGAGGGTGAGGGAGGAGAGAGGAGGGAGGAGAGAGGAGAGTGGAAGGCTGAGGGAGGAGGAGAGAGGAGGGTGGAGGGCTGAGGGAGGAGGGAGGAGGAGGGAGGGAGGGGGAAGGAGGGAGAGAGCTGAGAGCTGAGGGGACAAGGGAAGCTCCTCTCCCCCCTTACCTTCTCGGTGTCTTCCTTCTTCACTTGCTTCAGGTTGGCTCTCAGGTCCATACACACCTTGTGCTTGGAGCCCAGCAGCGCCTTCAGCATGGCATCAGCAGACATCCGCACCCTCCTCAGAGGAGGCCTCTTGAACTTGCCCCGAAGGTCAAAGAGTTTCTGGTTCATGTCTTCCAGCTGCAGGGAGGCAGGGGAATGCCCAGGATGAGGAAGGGCACGTCCCTTCCAGTGACCAGGGGTTCCCGCACCCCCAGACAGGTCGAGGCCTTTCCCTGGCTCCCTGGAGGCTCCACCAACCCCCCTTCCCCCACCTGCACCCCCCAGGACAGAGTAAGGAAAGAGAAGGGGGGCTCCAGGCACCCACTGGAGCTGAGGAATACAGAGCCATGGCAGGCTAGCCTGACAAAGTGGGCCCAGGGCCTGCAGCAGAGGCTGGGGCAGAGACCCTGGGCCTTCCACACACCTCCTTTGTGCTTTTCTGAACCTTCATTTCCATATCATATTTCTCCTCTTCAGCTGCATCGACCTTGGCGTGGAGCTGTCTGCAAAGGTCCTGGGTGGAGGGGGGAAGGTTAACGGCCAGGCAGACACTAAGACTCCCTGTTTTGAGCCCAGATCTGCTCTTGGTATAGAACTGCCTTATGCGGGGGCCAAGACGGAGCTGTCCAGCATGGGCAGGAGCTGCCTCAGAAGGGCTTTGGGCAGGGCCACTGGATGCCCCAGGTTGCTGGGGATGATGTGGAAGAGATAACACTAAGGAGGGCTGGACTGCATGGATAGCTGCCACTGGGGTTCTGGGTACATCTCATCCCTGTAAAGGTGACCGAGGTTGAGCATCTGGATTCTGAAGCAAAGGTTTGAACAATATCCTGGAAGGCAGACCCACACAGGCTGGGGGAGGGGACTCACTAGACAGAACGGTAGGGTTCTGAGGCCCAGAGCCAGGAAGGGACTTCCCTGGGGAGCACAGAGGCAGGGATGAAGCACAAGGGGGACTCAGATGTCCTGGTCCCCAGCCCCATATCCTGGCAGTAGGCAAGCCATGCCACGAAGAGCCAGAAGGCATAGGGCCGGGGACAGGGGGCAGGGGGAAAGGGATCGGCCCCTGTTACCTGCACTTCAGACATAGACCCTGGCAGGTGCAAGGGAGGGCAGTGCTCAGATAGATAGTTGGCTTTCTCCGATTGCCGGCGAGTTTCTTCTTTCTCTAGCTCAGTGGCAGCTATCTGGAGCATGACACTCTGGGAGGAGCAGGCCCGGAAAAAGATGAGGAGATGAGTGAGTGGCGCAGGGACAGCTGGAGGGAATCCCATGGGGAGGCAGAGCCCCTCATCTCCTGAAATACCCCAAAGGTCCCCCAGTCCCTTCAGGGAGCCTGCCCACCCTTGCAGCTGCCCAGGCTTCTACCCACCCCTGGACCAGAGAAGCCCATTTTGAAACTCAGTCACAGTCTGCCCATTCAATCATTAACCCCCATCCATCCTTAATCTCTGATCCTTCTTTTGGGTCCCTTCTATCCCTACTTCCAGGCTTCAGATGCCCCCCCCAAGAGAAGCCCTGTATCCTTCTCCTGTCTGCCCCATAGCCTAGGATGCAGCACATGGAGGGCCCCATGAAAGACTTGTTACATCGAACTGAATCGCTCCAGAGTGAGGAACCCAGTGGTTCTGCTACCCCCAGGTGCCTCCAATAGGAGCTGCTGTTGGGCAAGGAGGGCAGAGGGGCCAACCCTCAGGAGAGAGCACAGTCTAGGGTTTGCTAAGGAGAGAGGAGAAGGGATAGAATGGAGAGAGAAGGGGGGGGATATGGGGAAGAAAGAGGCAAAGGCAGGGAGGAGAGGAGAAAGGGGGAGAGGAAAAGGAACAGAATGGGAGAGAAGAG